TTACGAAGATAGCTTCGGGATGATGGAGGCATGTGATGGATGCGGCAAGATACTGGTTTGGAGTGCGCTGACCGCCCACATTCTAGGAGAGGAGTGTGGGCACCGTCCGTCGTAGGTCTTAGATATATATAATCCAATGGTAGTTTTATAATCATTTATTTTGTATACGAAGCGATGGTGTACGGGGGGTTTGGTGCTGCGGATGTTCGGACTTGAATGTTACCTCATTTTTGAACCGATCAAGGCTCCGAGTTGGAACAGGGCACCTGATACTCAGGCAGAAGGTTAACGTTCATCCCCGAAACAAACCAGGAATCTCGTAACGACTAGCCGCGTTCGCACCTTCCCCATGCCACCTAGAAGCCAGGCTCAGCATTCCGAACCAAGTCTTTGCACCAGTAAACAGGCATTTAGTACTCTGACAGAACTCTATTAGTTCATTAACGAGTAAAAGGCAAAGTTCGACTGGAACAAGGAATTAGTGTCGCCCAATAGGATCAAGTGATCCGTACCCCAAAAAGACTTTCGTGGATAACACCTCGCGAGCAACAAGGATTTGAAAGTCAATGCATACGATAAAGAACTGCGGAAATGACTTCCGAGAGCTGCATGACCATGACGTTATCCATGGAAGGTATGGATGATATCGATTATCGATCATCGATCACACGGACAGAAGCTCCAAATGCACCGGTACACGCCTTATACATGTACATGTAGTATAGGGTCGTCGGTACTACTAGGTAGTCCAATTGGACTTTTTTGATTTTTTTTTTGATTCGGAGTCACTTTTTGCATCTCAACATAACCATGATGGTTCCTGCTGATTAGTACGTACTTGATTCCAATTGGCACATCTTCATCAAGGGAAAAGAGCCCATCGATGGAGTTCGGACTGCCAGAGAGCGGATCATGACCACTGAGAAATGCGCGACCAGTTTAACTATTGAAAGGCACCTGGGACAGGTGAGCGACATGATCATGATAAGCTATTGCAAGCTTGCATGATGGTTCTGGTCGAAGGGGAAAATGGAATTGACCAGCGATGCAGTGAAGAGAAATGTGTCCATGCGGATACTATCCCGCCACACCATAGTATTAGTTGCTTGCTGGGTGGATAGAGAGCCGTCGCTGTAGACGGCAAACACTAGCGGACGATCAGACAACAAATAACGTGGATGGGTATATGGGATTCAACGGTGAGACCTAGTAAGACACAACGCATGACACCATAATACTGTGCGTCCAGTCATAGCATCTCTATATGTAAATATTAGTTTTGGTGAGTTAGGCACTGAGTACTGATCTTCGGTATCCGGAAACTCGAGTAGCTCAGGAGCATCCCATCGTACGTTACTCCCGATGTAAGAAGTCCCGGTTAGGTTGCGACGTGTAGCCAAGAGCCCATGGTCCACTACAAGAGCTCTTTCATCAAGTACTGTTGAGAAGTACGTTGAAGGAACGAAGATGTGAGAAGCGTCGCATATCTGCACACCACATAGTTGCTTACACCTGTGAGATCTGCATGAACTACTTTGTTGCAGTGAACCGTCCATGCGCCATATACTATCAGTGCAATACGAAAATGACATGACATACGATATTGGAGGCCAGCAGCTACATCAGCAAGCCGTGGCGACGCCCGTGAGTTGTGGTGTAGCTATACCATTGGGGAAGACTTACCAAACAAAATTTGTGGGTCTGTCATGCTTTTCATCAAGACATGTGCTCAACGATCCGTTGGGCATTCGTGAATATACGATAGCTGGTACTGGACCGAACCAGTAGGCAATCCCACACAAGCAAGGGAAGAATGTTATTATGGCGCAGTGGTCTCCGCTTGCGGAAGTCGACCATCAACGTTGAACGTTGAACGTTCAACCTCTGCAAATATTTTCATATCATTATAGTGGGTGTTCTACAACATATAGGCTCACCTTGCTGAAGATATTCTTGAAATGTCACCCTAAATTTTGAGCCTCACATATTGAACCGCCACCTTGAACCCTATCATCAGATGTCAGATTTTACTACGAAATTCATACCAACCTCCGCGTTAATATCTTTGTCTGAGAACATGCATTTCCATACGTCACCGAAACTGCCCTGGGCAGTAGCATAAGCCAATTCCTTCACGGCCTTCGCAGTAAGGTCGACCGGGCGTCTAAATCGGTTGAAAAAAAAAACTCATGTGAGCCAGCTTCATTCAAGTTGAAACTCTGCAAAAAAAAACTGCGTTACTCACTCATTATCATTGACGTCTACATCCATGTACATCGAGCTCGACGTTTCTGGTTCCAGTTGGACTTTCCGCCATTTATGGGGGCAACACACTGAGGAGCCAGGTGAGAAGGGAAAGTATTTGTCACACTGGCAGCCTAATGAGGTCGGATCTTTGAGGCCCAGGGCAGTTTGGATAACCACCAGAACGGTAATATTTGCAAGATCCCTGCCTTTGTGTTGACGTTCAAGAGCTGGCTGTAGACCAAGGCGCTGGCATTCATGGGAGTTTACCACGACCACAGGAATATGCCGTTGTACCAACATAAGGTTACTCCAAAATTCTGAATCACGTTAATCAAATTTTTAGCGTTCCCTTCTCTTTGGTCGTCCAACCTAATAGTACAACCATGTGCATCTGCAGCTCTGCGATCGATCAGCATCTCATGCGAAGAAAGTTTTGATGGCGTTGACGAATCAGCCAGATTCTCCTTCCGTCTTCGTTCAGCTCTTGCTTCAGTCAGTGGTCCCATTACAGCCCGTCTAGCAGGTGAGCACTACCCTGCTCGCGCAACCGTCGAAGTGCACGTCCGCCCGCTCTCATCAGTGCCAGGAACTGCAGATAAATCGCGATACGAGAGATCGTAGAACGCTCATGTCCTCTCGCACAAGATCCTCGCACTTTCATTCAGGTCATCGTTTCAGCCCTAAAACATCTGACCCTCGGTTATGCCCTTCTCGGAGCCGTCCAGCATTGGCTTGGTGCCTGTAGATATCGCAAGGAATCTGTGTGTCGCGCGGGAAGTAATGGTGTTGTTCAGGATCCTGATGGGGAGCAGCTTGACATGGCTAGATTGAGAGAGGTACGTCATGTTTTATTGGTAACACGTACACCTGCAACTAAGTTCGGTGTGAATGTAGTTAGCGAACACTTGGAAGTGTTTTATGATGGAGCGACATACCTTCAAGTTCACGTCTGGATCGTTATTTATGACTTTCTTAATGCGAGTGGGAGGGAGTGGAGGATTCCTGTAACCCGGTGTCTCTGTATCCACTTGCCGCTGCCAAAATGAACGATTGGGAGGTTTCCCGGACTATGGGGCGACATTAAAGAGGTGGGAAGATCTGTCGGTTGCGATTATTAGTAACCTTAACCCTAGAGGCATGCTTAATTCTGATTAACTCTGGAGCCGTCCGTCTTTGGGACGTTGGAAGGAGACGCCGAGAAACTCTATTGGAAAGGTATCCATTATCTTTGGCGTCCACGGATGTAGATGCCAATGATAAGGGATCACTTTACTAAAGATCAAAGGGGGAAGGGAAGATATCTGTCGGATTGGTAGCACCATGAGGCCAGATCTTTATAGGCCCGGGGCAGTTGGGGTACAAGAACAAGAACAATTACTAAACTTTGCGAGATTCCTGCCTTTATATCTATGCTCAAGAGGCTGCTGACTGTAGAAACCGATCGAGGCGCTACATTGACAGTATTTACCACGACTACAGGAATATGCCCAGTGCTCTGCATGTGACTCGAGTCATTGCTGTAATTAAGGGGGATGTACCGATCTCGATCATTCATTCTTATTGTGTTGCTATAAATAATTCTGTCCTGGTTCCTGGATGCTTGGCATCTAGTTGGAAGTCTAGACTCTGGACAGCCACGCCACTCTAGCTGAACCCTTACCCTTAAACAGCCGCAACTCTACGATCTGGCGACAGACTCATCAGCTGGATTCCGAATCTTCTTCCGTCCTTCTTGTTCAGGTTCGTGCCAGAGGAGTACCAACCATTTATGGGGCACCTCCGAGTCAGAGTCTGCGGCAGCACTAGGCGTTACCGTGCTCATTTTCTGTCGGACAAAGCTTAAGCTTTAAGTTTGACTACTGGCATGTCCAAGATCGTACTAGCCATGACCACGGTGCGTACACATGGAATTTCACATGCAAGAGGGACCTTATCTGCCCTACCGAAATGCAGATTTTCATAGATGAAATCTGCGACACATGCACTACCGAGAACTCAAAAGGCATTTTTGGTATTGCCCGTTCCAAATCAGTCAGAATGGAGTCTAAGTGGATCAAAAGTCACGTACGTTAAGCCATGCTTCTCTTCCATTGAAAGATCTGTAATATGATCACCGGCTGACTTTACGTGTGCACGGGTCTCCGGGCAGAAACACTGAGTTCAGGCGATTAAACGGGAATACGATAAGATGGGTCAATAACATGCCACGCACACTTCAGCGATCCTTTCGATTCAGCAGTACCCCCAACAATATTAATATTAATGTCGACTTCCATGCCATAGTTCTATCAGTTTATGTAACAACCATGGCTTGGTGATCAGATCTCAGAGCCGATTCTACTTGAACACAGCGAAGGCGCAAGTAGACATACCTTTCTTGTCTTGAGTCATCATTGCAATGTCGAGTCCTGCTCGCACACAACTGCCTAGTATCCAACTCTTGCTTAGCTAGGATTAACAACCATACTGAAATTGAAGAACCTCCGCAAGACACGCTCGACATTCTCATTTGTGAAGAAAGCGGATCTGTTCATTGGTCAATTTGATCGCTGGGACGAACATTGAGAAGACATCCCCCGATGCTGTGGGATGTACGACTGGAACAAATGTATACGGCTTGGGCAATTTGATAAATCGCCACCAGACGTTGAAAGTAAAGCTTATCGATACAGCTGGTCGGTCCAGTTCACCCCTCTTCGTGGCTATTGCTGAACTGAATTGCAGGTCTGGATGAGGGCACCGAAGGGACGGTCTCAGACAAGGAAGCTCGAAACATTTTGAAGAAGCTTCTTCGAACTCTGACGGAGCAAGGCAACGTTCATCTCATCATGTACTGTGTGCGGGGTGGGAAGAACATTCAGATACTCCGCCGGAACTACGAGTTAATCTGTTCCCAAATCAAGAGCAAAGTTCCAATTGTCCTTGTCGTCACATGTTTGGAATTTTATCGACCAGAGATGGAAGACTGGTGGAAGGTCAATGAAAAAACCATCTCAGACCTCGGGATGATCTTTGCTGGCCACGCATGTATCACCACGGTGGAAATGACAGAGCCTATGTTTGTGGAGCGCCGCAACCGGTCATACGATGCTGTCTGCAACCTCATCAAGCAGTGTCACCAAGGCACTATTCATGGGGTACCAATGTACGTTATATTCCACACTTTGTATATCGTATTTTCCTTACATTGGAAGTAGGACCCAGCGTCACAGTGAGGGGTGGTACAGGCGGGTGTTAGCTACCATTTGCTTGGCTTAGTAGTTAGTAGGGCCTTCGGCACTACCGTCATCATCCCCGACTAGGCTGACGGTGATCTTTTTCGGAGTCTGCATCTGGCCTGCATGACCCGTATATATGTCATTTCAGCTTATCTAGATGGCCAAATAAAATGTATTCATATTCCCATTCATGTGTGACCTTGGTTCTTTAGCTAAATCGACGAATTTAATTTGCACGGAACCCCAAGAAATCGATGGCCATACTTGTTTGATAGGAAAAAATGATGTAAGGCCGTCGCCGTAGACGGCAAACACTAGCGGACGATCAGACAACGGATAATGTGGATGAGCATATGCGATGTAACGGTGAGGTAAGAGATAAGATCTGCAATGTATGAGTAACGCGATATACAACGAGGATCAGTATGAGTAACCAAACATTCAACAATACCGTGCGGTGTCTAACTTGTCAGCGTTGATTACATGCGAAGACCGTAAGCCCTGGGTTAACGCATAGCATCTCTATAGTGAGACATCAAATCTCGGACATCAGCAATAGGAGGTCGCTGTGATGACTCAACCCAGCATTGCTCGATAAAGTCCCAGTGACAATCCTCGATGGCAGGGATGTCTGGACGCTTGGGCTTGACACCTTTGAGGATGGCCACGACCACCTGGTGATCACTGCGAATGTTGCAGTACGGCTGCTTGCCCGATAAAACCTAACACAAATGAGAACAAGAGCGCTGCAAATACACGTTGTCGACAGACCTGGTATGCGATGCATCCAAATGAATAAATGTCACTTTCTGGTTTTGGTGAGCTAGATGCATCCTCGGTGTCCGGAACTTCGAAGAGCTCAGGCGCAGACCATCGTACGTTACTCCTGATGTAAGAGGTCCCGTTCAGGTCGGAACATGTAGTTAAGAGCCCATAGTCTGCTACAAGAGCTCTTCCGTCTCTATTGATGAGTACATTGCTCTAAGAGGAAACGAAGACGTGAGCAGCGTCACAAATCTGCATACCACAGTTTGCTTACACCTGTGAGATCCGCATGAACTACACCCTTAGAGTGGACTAGGCACCATATACTGTCAGCTTATCTGAATGCAATGCAAAAATAACATGGCATACGATATTGAAGACCAGCAGCTACATCATCAAGCTGTTACGATGCTCGTAAGTTGCGGTGCAGCTAATAATCATTGAGGAAGACTTACCAAACCGAACTTGTGAGCCCCAGAGAGACTGTCATAGTTTTTACCAAGATACGTGCTCAAGGATCCGTTGGTCATCCATGGAAATACGATGGCTGGTACTGGAGCAAATCCGTAGGTAATCCCGCACAAGGAAAGAATGTTATCATGACGCAATAGTTTCCACTTGCAGAAGTCATCCATTAACCTCTGCAAATATTTTCATATCGTTTTCTACATCATGATCATGTCGGCGCACCTCGTTCACGATTTTCTTGAAACTGTCATCCTGGATTTCGATCCTGACACATTTAACCGCCACCTTAAAACTTATCATCAGATATCAGAATTTACTATGAAACTCATACCAACCTCCACGTTATTATCTTTGTCTGAGACCATGCATTTCCATACGTCACCGAAACTGCCCTGGGCAGTAGCATAAGCCAATTCCTTCATGACCTTCGCAGTAAGGTCGACCGGGTGTCTGAAAATTTTGGCACATGAGTCAGCTTCATTCAAGGTATTACAAGCCCGTCTACTCACTCATTATCATTGGAGCCTACATCCAGGTGTGTCGCGCCCGACGTCTCCGTTTCCGGTTGGACCTTCCGCCATTTCTTGGGCAGCACGCTCAGGCTGAAAATCCACGCGGAAAGAGTATTTATCTGTCGCCCTGGCAACGTAATGAGGTCGAAATCTTACAGGGCCGGGGCAGCTGGGATGACCACAGAACGAGAATAAATACTAGACTTTGCGAGATTCCTGCCTTTATATCGACGTTCAAGAGGCTGCTGGCTGTAGAGACCAAGGCGCTACATTGATGAGAATGTTTACCACGACTACAGGAATATGCCGTGGGCCGTGGCAGGAACGTAAAATGGTCGCAGTGGGCCAGTGGCACCGCTGTCTTGTGTAGTATCACGTACTGCTTCCGTTGTAGGCTACGTTCGAAATTCTTGAACTGCTCAAAGTTCCTTAGTCTCAGCTGTGTCCTGTACAGCATCAGAATGCACAATGTCCCAGAGACTCTGGACTTCCATGCTCTCGATTATGGTCCCAACGAATTGAGGATCTCCTGCCAACCAAATGGAATTCAATGCTCCAGTGCTCGCGCAGTAACGTTGACTATATCATAAAATTGCGGTGTCGATCAGCGATATGCCATACTTGCAGCTAATTATACGAATACAATCATGATTCGGAATCCTCGTTCCTCAGGAGTGCAGAAAATCGAGGTAAGTTCCTAATGATACAGGAAGCAATACACATACTTGAAGCATAATTTCTACATAAGTTGATATCACATCGCCTTGGCCCTTGATCATGAGAATTATTAACACTGCAGAAGACGCACTTTGTCAATAGCCACACTTTCTTTGATTACTGGCTAGTTGTAAAAGACGTAGTCGCCTAAGACTATACAGTACATAAGAAGAATGGCGTACAGCACCAACATTCAAAGCTGCATGCAGAGCTAGTACTATCTAATTATATGATCACCTTGTGATGCCGAAAGAGCTTCAAGCTCGGGTCCCAACTTAGAATCGTCTGCTTGTAGCGATTATATGCTGGTCTCAAGACATAATAACACCAAAAGCAGCCTTGAGATGGGAGGGATCGTGTTGGACCCAAGATCGAAACTTGAAATGTTGAAGACTCACTTAAACACAGTGGCTATGTTGTGTAGATTCAGAGCTCGAAAGCTCAAGGTTTCTTAGCCTCAGCTGTGTCCCCCACAGTATCAGAATGCACATAATGTGCCAGATAAGAGACTCTGGAATTCCATGCTCCTGACCGAACTTTGTAATACAACATTGATATTTGCTCTGATGGGCTCGCGCAGTAACGTTGATATATCATAAAATTTCAGTGCCAAGGCGGGGTGGCGGCGGCCATCGGATCAGCAATTATGCAGCCAATTATCCGAGTGCAATAAAACTCTCGTTCCTCAGGAGCCTAGAAAATTGAAGAGGTAAGTTCCTGATAATACAGGAAGCAATACACGTACTTCAAGGGCCTCCCAGGTTACAGGATAGTGTAACATATGAAAACCCCAACCCCGCAGGTGGGCGAGGTGTTCGTCCGCGTCATCCAGCTTCAGCGGCCGGCCTATGAAGCTCTCGCTACCAATCTTAGCTTCTTCCCAGAATCCATCTAGGACTTGAGAAGAGCATGGTGTTGGTGTAGTAGATGCTGAACGTCCTACCACAATATAGAGGATAACTTCAGTGAAGTCACCCCGTTGACACCCAAAGACTAGTAGTAAATTATACAGTCTTCTGCACACGTTTAGCAACCTTCGCTCGAGCTCTTACGCAAGTCCACACACCTCGTATCAGCGTCACATCTCGTTGCCTTCGCACATAAAAAACAGCTGCCAGACCAGCTCTCACAGCTTCGTATCCTGCCTCTGGGATCTGTAAGCCAATGAGTAAATGTCATATACAATAACGACTTAGCACGCTTAGCACTAAATCACATGTACTGTCGACATTAGGTCAGCTTACAACGACAATAAGCGAGAGAGAAAAAACTAGTATACATTGGTGGATGCTTGATTGGGTCGCGGTGCGTGTGTTGCGTTCGACGGCGCTAATAGAGACTGGAGCTGTGAAAAGCAATTGTAAGGATGTCGTACAGGCAGCGCAGTTTTCATGAGTGAGAGAAAACAGAGTCACAGAAGATATAAGGTCTAACGCTACAAACTGCATCACAATCCTCACCTGATCCAGGACCACTACCGCCAGCTTCATCGCTTGTATGGTGTTCAGAATCGTGATGAGGAGCAGCTTGAGGCTAGATGAACGAGACAGGTACGACATGTTTTATTGGTAACACGTACACCTGCAACTAAGTTCGGTGTGAACGTAGTTAGCGAACACTTGACATCGTTTTATGATGGAGCGACAGGCTGCGACACACCTTCAAGTTCACATCTGGATCACTCTTCGTGACTTTCTTAATGCGAGTGAGAGGGAGTGGAGGATTCCTGTAAGCTGGTGTCTCCTTCTCTGCTGTATCCACTTGCCGCTGCCAAAATGAACGAAGGAAATTTGAGAGGCTTCCCGGACGGGGCGAAGTTAAAGAGTAGGTGGGAAAACCTGTCGATTCAGATTATTAGTAACCTTAACCCTAGACCATGCACTGATTAGTTTCCCGTCTTTGGGACATCTAAGAAGTGTTTTTGAGACGCCGAGGCCCGAGAAACTCTATTGGAAAGTTATTCACTATCCTTGGCGTCTACATTAAGGATGTAGACGCCAATGATAATGGACCACTTTACTAAAGATCAAAGTGGGAAAGGAATATCTGTCGCATTGGTAGCGCAGTGAGGCCGGCCTGGGGGAGACATCTTGGGGGTAATCACAAGAACAAGATTACTAGGCTTTGCAATATTCCTGCCTTTATATCGACGTTCAGGGGGCTGCTGGCGGCACATTGCGTATGAGCAAAGGCATGGGAATTTACCATACAGGAACATGCCGTTGGATCAACGTAAAACAATTGTAGTACTCGCTTGTCAGGTACTGCTTCCCATACAATTGTCATGAACTGCTCAAGGTTCCGGCTATGGTCCCGGATCTCACAAAGTACTTGTGCTGAGCTTCGCACAGTTAGATATATATATTTTTACTGTCGATCAGTCTAAATTAATTATAATCATCCGAGTGCCCTCGTTCCTTGATCAAATTTCAAAATCGAAGAGGTAAGTTCCTGATAATACAGGAAGCAACTTGTATTACACGTACTTGAAGCAAATAAGTCGATATCACATCGCCTTGACTCGGTTAATCATTACTCCCACAGCCGCACACTTTCTTTGGTTCCTGAGCTACTAGTAGTTGTGAAAGACGAAGTCTCCATGGCGTCATACATGAGCAAGTTGACGAGTAAGCCACGAAACTGCGTATCACTCTTATTTAGCCAAATTCCACTCACGCCGATGCAAACTCAGAGCTACTGGTAACTAGTAATACGTACTAATTACCTTGTACTTACACTACTATGATTCCGAAAGAGCTCTGATGCTGCTACACAGCGTAGCTGTTTTGCCTGCTCCGATGACTACGGCTTAAAGGTAGAATGAGGGCAACCCTGGTTTATTGAGCTCACTCGCACTTTAAATGTCGCATTGGACGTGCTGAATTCCCTACGCAGGTACATAATGTAGAAATAACTCTTCGTCGCAGCCTGAGTCTCAATCCCATGAAACATACAGAGACTCTTGGGCGATTTCCGTACACGGAAGCGACTGCATCACGAAAATATTTTGCTTCTGCTTGGTTTCAGTCACGAATTTGGGCTACTTCCAGCGACCGTTTCCCCATGGATACACAATAGCTCGCTCACTACATATCTTGAACACCATTTCACAGAATTGACCATCAAACGAATGTACGAGCATGCCTGAGCAACGCAACGCTCGTATGTTCGTTTGATGATTGATTCTGTGAACTGGTGTCCAAGGTATGCAGTGAGTGAGCCATTGTGCCCATGGGGAAATTATCGCTGAAAGCAGCTCAAATTCGTGACTGAAACCACGCAGAAGCAAAATATTTTCGTGATGGCGGTTGCTTCCGCAAATTGCCCAGGAGTCTCTGTCAAGCGAGCATGCGTGTCACATGCAAAGGGGAAACCGAAAACGTACTTGAGTAACTCTGGCTCTCAAATCGTCACCGGCGACATCGACCCTTATAGATTTGACTGCTACCTGTCATGCGTTCAGATTACTGGACAGCCATATGTGTAGCGTTCTTACCTCCGAGCCTTGACGGGTCAGATGCAGTATAGGTGCATTTCCACACATCCCCGAAACTACCGTGCGCTATCGGATGAGGTGAGTCCTTGGATACAATCCCGTAAGGTCGAATAGGCTGCATTGAAAGTCACATGAAGAAGTGCGTTGTCACAGGGTACAATGATCATGGACTTGCCGGTTGTCGAGGGCTATCTTATCACCACCGGTGGTAGCGATAATGACAGACAGGCTGCTTCTCCACAAACGACTTCCTCCCGACCTTCGGTAACAAGGACCTGCAGTGGGATAAGAATGGAAGAATGATTTAGGTCAGTAGACTCGTGCGTTGTGCTCTTTTAACAAGGCAGGCTGAGCACAGAAACAATAAGACAATGGTATAATAGCACCTCCTTTTGTAAGTTAGTAACAGAGGCAGTGAATCAAAAGCCGTGCTAGATGTCCCCCGTTCTCTTCCGTTGAATCCGTAATATGATAGAGCATGCTGTATCCGGCTGACTCCACTCAATGGGCTTCCATACAGCAGCACTGCCCACAACAATAGTCACTTCCTTACCGCCTTAATCACCTTCTCTGGGAGTAGATTTGACAAGTCCGAGTACTAGTCTGGTTGGTAATGCTGTAGTCCGGGCTGAACGGGACACCCGTTGGAATGGGCATTAATGACCGTTCTCCCTTGGCTGCCACATCACGGCGGTAGCTACAACACTATAGTCATAAGTTATTTTTGTACTGAAACAATACACATTGCTAGAACAGAACTTCGTAGCCTGCCGCGCGTCCTATATCATTTCATTCATTTGCGGGAGACAGATTGAACAGCCATAGTACGTACTAGTCTTGCCACAGTTCTGGACACATGGCCAACACAGCTAGGTAGGAGTCGACAATATAGCAACTATGACGATAGAGTCCTGGATTTCACAGGTTGGTTCTTCTAAATCGACGATCGTGAACCCTCATTTAATGTGCACGGAACAAGAGGTGCACGTGCAACTTGGATTACTTGCCTGTTATAATTAAACATGGAGTGTGGTGAGTCGCCTAGTGCTTCATGTGCAATTCTAAATGAACGGACATACCCTCAGTCTTGGATATGAGATTGAGAGAAAACGACGAGCGCCCAAAGTGAGCATTTCGGGAGCAATCGGGATACGAATAACGAACGTTGAGGTGGCAGTTTACTATTACCTCAATACCCAACACCTTTCACCATAAGTTGGAACGAACATACAAGGTCCTCGAAAATAATACTTCAGACACTCCAATTTCTGAATCGGGCAACATCACTTGGAGTATCTCCCACGAGTTCTCATTCCTCACTCGAATCAACAAACCGGTGAGACCTCAGCGGCATCAGGCTGACTTAATTCAGATGGATAGCCTGCCAGATTTAACTGGCCACTTTTTTTCGGAGGCCTGGGGGACGTCTGGCGATGTACATGGAAAAGGAATGCTAGCATTATCGTAGTAGGTGCGTCCTGATTTCCATGTTCGAGTCTGATGAAGACACAGGTAGCTGTGAAGTCAAACAGGAATCAAGCAGAAGAGGATGCCAACAACAAAAGTAAGATGCGTCAGCGTGCTCCATACAATTCAGTGTTGCTTATTGGTTGTTATAGAGGCTTCGCTGTGGGCTCAAGGTTTGGTCGAGACTTACACGATACATCGTCCCACTGTACGCCACTGTATCAAGCTTTGGCCAATTCGTTGCCTTGGTTTGTCCCTGGTATGACAACGGATCGCTTTCAAGTTATCTGGGATCCCATGTTCAAACCGTGTCCATAATCAACTGTTTCCAGCTGGTATGTCTTGCATGATCTGTCTGAAAACGTACTCATGCCTTCGCATCTAAGTGATATTTCTGCGGGTCTTCAACACCGTAAGTGACTTGCTCAGTTTTGCAGCATAGTCGATAATGGTTCTTTGCCTCATTTCACTCGTGCTCTGCTGTCCAGGGTGATCTTACTGGGATGGAGTTCGCGGGCATGTCTTCTTTCATGTCTGCCCTGGATGACACTGTGCTGAATGGCACCCGAACTTCTTGCAATTCTCGAAGAAGGCATAATCCCCGAAGGTGTATTTTTTCCAGGTTTGCCCAAGATTACGCATCTTCATCACTGAGTCTCACCCTTACACCAGGTATTGACGGGAAACCCACCCTACTCCGAGTTCAAGCGAGCGCACAGGTTGTGGTCGCAGTTTCTCTTGGAACAAAACCTTCGCATCCTAAGTTTCATGTGATCATTGGTCGCCATTGAAGTTTTATTCTGAATTGCTGGTCCATCGAGGACTGTAGATCGTCCTGTCAGCAGGTAGATGAATACACATCTAAGGCTAGCTTCACCTCTTACAGCCTGATACATCATCTCCTGACTAATCTCTTGAGTCTGGCTTACCATCATGTCTGTCTGTACAGACTTGACTTCTTATTCTCGTGCAACAAAACCGAGTCCTGTATTCTCGAATAGTCAGGACCACATAATAATAATAATGACCGCAACCCTTGATCCGGTATAACTTATAAGTGGGCAACTCACATCGGTTATCGGTCCTAGGCTATCATCTGACTTGAAGTTACGCAATATTCCGAGCTCAAGACCATCAACATCAAGAAGTTTAAGCAGCAAATGATGTCCGATACGTCGTGCAGTGTGCTGCTGCAGTACATCTCCCTGTATCACGATCTTTTGTTCGCTGATGGTGTTCCCGCAGAGAGGTATCGATGTCATGATGGTCAGTACCTATCAATCCATGGACTGAACATTCTACCAGGAACTCGATACGCGCGGCCACACTGCTATCCTTGTGACCACTTCACCGAATATGTTGCGAGCTTCGACGCTAGCCCGTGGACAAGCTTCGCCAACGAGCCACCTGCTGGCCAGCTTCATTTTGCATTTCCAGAGGTCATGAACTTCGCTGCTTCCTTGCTTACTGACGTCGTAAAGATCCCTCCTTCATACTATTCCAGCACCAGGGCGATGAAATTAACAAGAACTGTCATGCCGACGACTACCTCATGCAGCAGTAGCTCAACAGCACTAGCATGACGCTGAACGGTGCTCTCGACACGGTCGCACAGACCATCTACAGCACTGATTGCCCAGGGAAAGACGCCTGTCACATGGGAAGGTACGTGTCGTGTTTCTTCCTTTGAAATTGAATAGAAACGGTCGTTCACAAATGGCCCTCGACTAGAATATCACACTCTCAAACCAGACTATTGTGATGTGAGATCATGATCTGACTTCGCTGATTCAACTTTATTGAATGGCTTTGGATTTCTTCTGCAGATGCTGCAGTATGGCAAGAAGGGGTTTCAGGATCGTCCAAGCACTATCAAATCACTTCTACCTGGTTAGTTGACGAGTCCGTTTATAGAATATAATGTCCTTATTATCCTAGGATTATGGTGCTGGTGAGGGACTGGGAGACGACCCAATTGGGTTGGTCTTCATCTTGTCGAATACACTCGATCTGAACTGACATTCCTTGTGAGAACAGAAATGGCTGGTGCGACCCCTTCAAAAGCTAGTCCAAGGTAAGTATGAATGTTGAGGATAGCCACGCATCTCACAATGTCCCGTTAGGCATATACCTTTTATTCGTTGGCAAACTTGACCGAGGCGCAGTACGAACTCGTTGTCGGAGGTGAACACAATCTAGTCTCGAGGTTAAATCAACCTTTCTGACCAATCTGCAGGCAAGAAAATTCTATGGATTGAATAGTCTGGTCCCCAAAATGTTGACCCAATCGTGTGGCCACGCGCTGCATCATCAGCAGAAATTTTCTGGAGTGGGAAGCAGCCCATTGGCGCTGCACTCAACGTCACCGAGGCACTTCCTCGTTTGCATGTAAGTAGTGTTTCTTGATGTGGAAGTACTTGGACGTCAGGTACAGGATGGTACAACGTGGCATCAATGCCATCCCACTCCAGCCGCAGTTGTGTGTGCTGCGACTGGATGCATGCGATATATACGCTTGATTTAGAACTTGATCCATCTTTTCACGATTGGTCTTGGCTTTAATCAGTCTGCGCCGTTGCTTACAAGATGTGTACAGCTCTCGTTCACCTGACTTATGATATGTCAAGAAATTTATGCCTCTGCTCTGCGAGAAGTCACGCCAGAAGTTGATGAAATGTTCGAGTGATGCACTGAACAATGATTCATGAAGTATCCACATTTTTGGCAATAAATTGTATCCGTGCTACGCGTGTATACTATATGTAGCTAGTTCACATTGATATCTTGGCTGGAATGTCCCACGTAGGCAATGTTACATAAAACCTTGTTTTGAGTTCTGACCTACCGTACCCCAGTGATGCATCGAGCTTTACTTGTTCCCGAAGTCCTCCTAGAGATATTCACCTATGTATCACCTACTCAAACAACATCGACCCCGAAATCGCTTGCAGCGCTTGCAAGGACATGCAAAATCTTCCACGAGCCTGCGATGGATTTGCTGTGGACTGAAATCCATGGGTTGGAAGCACTGCTAGGCTGTGTAGCGAGGTTACATCCACTGATATATCATGGTAGTATAAGGGTCAGTGCACGACTTCATTACGCTTTGTTTGTTTCTTTTCGGCTCACCGAGCATCTACATAATAGTGGGACAAACCCTGGACGAAAGGTGTCGAGCCATTATCTGCTCATGAGATCCCTCAATTTCTGCGTCACTCCTCCCGCATACGCAAATTAAAGATACAATCTGAACATCCGTACCTTCTCTCTGTCATCCCCGCCGAGGCATGCATATTTCCGGGGCTGAAGTCATTAAGTCTTACCACCGTATATTTGGACCTCTTTCTGCCTCACATGCTGCACCGATGTCATCTATTGGACGTCGACAAGGGTCTGCAATCTTTTGTGACACGTTGCATTGCTCTGGAGCATTTATGCATCTACACTCCTGAATGGCTCCTGGTTGACAGTATAGCAAATCAGATGTCATTGCTATCCGATAGGATTCATTGGTGCACGCGGCTTGTAACTCTTTGTTGTCCAATGCTCGACTGGGCAACATGGAAGCACCTCTCCTCCCTCCCTACTCTTCTCAAATTGAGAATTGAGCAAGGATGTCGTGACCCTCCTTCGCTGTCAAAACGAGACATCGTGGATCTATCAATCCTTAATATCACAAGTCTTTCCTTTCAAGAAATCTATTATGTTGCAGATATCATCACAGTCATGCAACACTCGGAATTTCCCTCGCTGAAAGAGTTCGAGTTTAGAGCCAAATATATCTCTCCAGAAGATGCCGAGCAACTCTTTCATGCTCTGTCTCGCTGCAAAGCGTGTCAGACTCTAGAAGAAATCACCTTTTGTTCTCTTAAGGAGACATACTTTGTAACCCCAAACAGCGAGCCTTTGACACCAATTCCGCATTTCCTTTGCTTTACGCAGCTCCGAACCCTGGAGCTCACATTTTATAATTCCTGCATCCACCTGGATAATGACATGCTCTTGCAAGCCATGTCTACTTGGCCGCACATCCGCACTCTGGAAATCAATGATTCAGGCGACTATGCTTCTTCTTCCAAAGTCTCCCTCCGTGGATTATTCACAGCGCTCCGTCTATGTCCAGAATTGCATACACTACGAGTTTCAATCAATCTTGCAACTATCGACATCGATCCTGATGCCGAGCCAATACAACATACCTCCCTACGATCATTGGCTTTAGACTTATCCGAGTCTCAAACAACAGATGCTGAAACTATCGCTCGCATTATTTCCGCCTGGCTCCCTTGTGTCGACCAAGTTACAAACATATATGGTTTGAGCTGGGTTGAAGTCAATAGGTATCTTAGATCTTTGAGAACGGCTACTGCGCCGTATGTTGCGGGAGCCTCCTAGAATAATTGAGTTCGGAATATCTTCACGTCCGGGAATGTTGCTACATACCTTCGAGTTCTTTCGTTCTTTCGTTATCATTGTCGTCACTGTTATAAACTACTGTACTAGTATCTCTGCATAATCGCCAACAACCCACCGGTTCACTGTCATTAGTGCGATTTCCAACATGATTACATGCGCCATCTGAGCTCCACCGTTCACTGTGCTCGACGGTCCCTTCCTCATGTGTACCTTTTGATATCCGTGTCTGTAACAGCCATGTGACTGCACAACACAACACATGCTTGATAGAATTCAACAACTACGTAGAAGGATACATCCATTCAAATGTCTAGATCGACACTAAGACATCCGATCGATCTGTACATGCGATGAGCGAAATGAACCCGAAAGGCATGGACAAGGCGATGCGGATCAATGCCGCTGAGTTTCCGCTTGCTGGTTAGGCTTTTGGACCTCCAAAGCATCATATACATATCTCCAAGGGTGGAGGTGTACTACATAGTCGACATATGACAGTCATGGCCTGGGACATGCCGGCGATAGGACATCTTATCTAGGCACCCGAACACGTCAACGCTGCGACGTTTTTGCTGATTTTTCTTGTTTGCGCAGCCATACATCTCCTTCTCCACAGGCCTATTTCCATATTTGCGTGGACGGTGGAGGGCTATACTATGCACACCTGGAAAACGGATCATCATCATCACATACAACCAATGATCAATACATTTCCTACCGTTGAACGTTGACCCCTCCCCCATACTCCTGGGGCGCTAACCATTTCCTACCACTCACTTGCCCTGCAATACCCACACGCTGTTTGGTGCTCTTCCCCCGTGCGCATTCCAGGACCCACCATCCAGAATTTGCTTGTAGCATGACAACATTTCTGGACGCCTTTTTTCCGTCTCAAATGAAAACAAAACCGAGCGGTTGCCAAACGGTCCCTAACTCCGCATTAATTCATCCCAGTAAGTTGCCTTTCCATTACCTTCACCTCGTATCTAATTAGGTTTATTTCCAATTGTAGCACTCCCCTGAAAACACTCGACATTCCAAACAACGGTATGCATTGCCTTGCCTGTTACTTTCGAGATCTCTACATTGGCTTTCTCTACCCATTGATAGTTCCACCTCCCTCGAAGTAGCAAATGAAGTCAAAGGTGAATTTTGGCTATCAAGGCGGCCTCGTATCAAGCAAACATCACATCCCCTAGATTGCATTTTGCTCAATAAGGAACTACTTCGTCGAATATCTAGCGACTTTGTTATACAAGATAATAATCTAGGACCTTCACAAAGGACATGCATGGTGCGTCCTCACATTCGTGCACGTGAAATCCTTTTTGCATCTTGAACAAATAGCCACAATCTTCTTCTCATGCACCTCGTTAATGTGACGACCGAGGCCATCCTTGCTGATGAATTTCGGACACTTGTCCCAGGGGCATTTTACTCTGGGGCGTCCTACTTTGACTTTTGTTCGGCCAGTTTGCACAACAGAACCAAGCTGTTGGGCAGCGGACTCACACACGGGATCGGACGTGCCATCGACATCGAGCGATAAATCTAGGGGTACATTGTAAACTTCTCAACGAATAGCTAGGAATGATAGCAAATTCACCGAAGCGAGCACCCACACCCTCTGATGACGATTCCGTGGCATCCATACCATAGGATGCCGTGAAGTCCTCAGAGTATATACTATGCTGATGTGTTACATAATCATTGTTAACAAAACCACAGGTGCCGTTGAGCAATAAGCCTGTATACGGTAAGTGTTTAAAAGAAAGTTTGCATATACAGCAACTTACCTTCTGTACCTTCATGGCACCGATCCCGTGACCCTGTACGAGGGTGCAGGCTGTGGCACGAGGTAGGGGTCGTGCGAGGATATAGATGGTGGAATACCATTAAGGCTATTGAGTCCAGCTTGGGAGTCGACGATGCCATCACGTCCACCCGAATGCTTAACTGTGATAGGAGGACTGCGAGCGCCGTAGCGCAATGGGCCTGTACACGGTAAGCATTTGAAGGAAAGACTGCTTATAAAGCAACTTACCTGTTGTACCCCCTGACAACGATCTGATGACCCCGGACGATGTTCCATGGAATGCTGCAGGCTGTAGCATGATTTGGCTATCATCAAGCGACGTAATGGCATCAAGGTCATTGACTCCAGCTTGAGAGTCGACGGTGCTATCATGTCCACCTGAATGCTCCATTGTGAAACCTGACTGGCAATTGCAAATGAGATTCTTGACGCTGCGAATCTCCTGCATTGCCTCACGCATGCCATGGTCTGACACGTCAAGGCGGCGCTCTAACATGTCAATGCGCTGGTCTAACATGTCAAGGCGGAGGATGCACTCAAGAATTGACTGGAGTGTTAAATACTGGTCAGGTGGAGTTGATGTGCATGAATCCATGTTTTTGTTTATGATGCAGCCTAATGTATGAGCGAGTGCGAATGAGGGGAGAATACTTGCAGCAGTTGGAAAATTGAACGGCTTTTTATGTTCATTCCACTGGCCCGTCTGGCAGGTGCAATCTGGCCTGTGGCTCATGGCAAGTTTTCGCATACCGCACTTTGGTTGGTCAACAGAATGTTAACCCAGTGAATCATCGGTGCCACCCTCCGCTTATTGCGTTGAACCCGGCTGACTTTACCCGGTGGGCTTAAGTAATAGCACTACCCGCAAACATAGCCACTTCCGAATCACTTGGCCTGGGGGTTCCAATCCATCATGCACAAAAATGAATGATTGATTTCAAGTCTGGTTTGTAACGTTGTAGCTCGAACAGAACGTTTCAATTATGCGTATTATGGCCATGAACTTTACTGACCTGTATAATCCATGTCATTCGCAAGAGACAGATAGGACGCGCGCAGTACTTCCGCAGCTCGAAACACATTCCTAACACAACTAGGTAGGGGTCAGCATATGTCTTGGAGGGTGATAACCGAATCACGGATCACAAGTGGGTTGTTTGATGTATATCAAATCATGGACATCAGCGATAGGAGGTCGTTATGATGACTGAACCAAAAGTTGCTTTAGCTATAATTGTCAATATTGGCAGGGCTATGGCTATTGAAGCTTGAAGCTTGGCACCCCGTGGCACAAGGATGGCCGAAACCACCTAATTAAATTAACTAGGAATTAAAATACTTCGCGCACCAGATATGGCAAATTGATTAAGATTCTCAGGCTGAGCCTGAGAGGCGCGGCTCAGCGGCGCACTGTCAACCAGTGTTCTGCCAGCCGCCGAACGTTCGCCAAAGTCAGTGAACGTCTCCATGGTCACATGTGAACATGTTGAATAGTACTAGGTATGGTGCATGTAGAGTCCTAGTGTTGTGGGCAGAACTCTGCCATTCTGCCATGTGGCAGGGCAGAACTGGCACTGCCAGGCAGATGGCAGAACCTCCCAGGCAGAATGTGGCAGAACTCCCGCACATGTAGAACCGTGGGAGAATGTGCTATATAGTTTAGTGTGTCGGTTCAGTGTACGACAGTATAGATTGAGGCACTTTAAAACTGAACATGACGTCGTCACGCTCATATGCACACAACTGAACTTCCAGGCATTGATACAGACATTGCCAAGCAGCTCGAAACCGACTTCGCATTTGTCCCTCCACTTTCAGCAGTCTCCGGCGACAATCTCGAAGCAGTGAATCGATCTCACTCGATGACATTGATGCTGAGTTTTCTCGTCTTGAAGATATTCGTAACACGGAAAAAATGATGGAGTTTGCCTCAAACTGGGATGTGGATAGGAAGGAAGTGTTGGAAGGGAGAGTGTTTGACTTTGTGGAACTGCGGCATGTCAACGAGGGATTAGTGCCTACCACGATAGATGATGAGATTATGGTCGCAGATCATGATGCGAATGAAGATGGGACTTGGAATATTGATTCTATGTTGCTGTCAAGTGGTCTTACATTCATGTAGTTAGTACTCTAGCGCTATGAAATTCTGCCATCTGCCATGCTGGCAGAACATGGTTCTGCCAGTTCTGCCGGCAGAACTACCTTGAGTTAGTTCTGCCCACAGCACTAATGTAGACACAACGCCACTAACTGACAAACAAAAACAAGCAAACAATTTCGCTGACACAACTGCTTCGGCGCGGCGAAGACCACTTGTCCTGTATGTATATCATATCACAATGCTATTTCCTCATGTCCTAAGTAGGACGTCGAATGATCATGCGGGAGTTTCTATCTTCTTTTCTGCTGCAGCGCAGTACCTCGCTAGAATTGAAAATCGTGGTATAGCTGTAAGTTTTAGCAGGCAGAATTGGAAAGAGACATAATCGAAATCGTCATCTGCAGCTTCCCCTTCACCGTCGTCGTTCCCAACACCTTCATTCTGTTTATCATTGCATCCATCAAAGTCGTCATTGCCGAATCCACGGTCCTCATCCTCGCTGTTCACAATGTGCATGCCACTAACTCCGAGCTGAGACAAGAATCTCGCGTAGCATCGTTGAATGTGTCTCAAAATAAGTATAGCGCATATGTGAACGTGTCTTGACTGACGAATCCAGTTTAGATCTCGAGATTCATGAATCACATGAGTTCTTCGCGGAGCGCCCTTATGCATGTTGGCATTCGGTCTTCTGCAGCTCATGGGCCGATGCCAAAGTTTGAGTTTGGGTACATTTTCGTACGCCTCGGCCACCACGTTCACAACATCTCTCTTCGCTTGAAGGTCTAGTCACGAACCTATGCTTGCTCATGTCTTCATGTTTGCCGTCTGAGCCACTATCCTACATCTTATCAACATCCCAATATCGCAGCTCATCACTGCTGGGGACATTCAGGATGACCATTTCTGTAAGCGCCAATGTATGAACTAACCACCACGGTCCAGACAGTCTGGGCCCTCAGCACCATGACGAACGCTACATTTGTAACGGTGGACACATCATGATTGAGTCTCCTACTGCAACGCTCGAGACGGGTACTGGTTAGTTTCCAAGTTCTTCTACAGAATACAATCTCCTTATCATCCCAGGATTCTGGTACTGATGAGTGGCTGGGAGACGGGTTAGTCTTCAGCTTGTCGAATGTACTCGATATGAGCTGATATATCTTAGGAGAACAGAACTAGCTGGTATGACCCCTTCAAGACCTGGTTCGAGGTAAGTACGAATGTTGAACGTTGAGGATAATCATGCATCTCACGATGTTTCGTTAGACATGTACCTTTGATCCGTTGGCAAACTTGACCGAGGTGCAGTGCAAACTTGTTCTCGGAGGTAAACACAATCTACTCTCGAGCTTTCTGAGCGATTATACGACGTATATTCGTTTGAGTGTATTTTTTCCAGGTTTGCCCAAAATTATGTTCATTCAACGCCGAGTCTCACCCTTGAGCCAGGTATTGACGGGAAAACCACCCTACTCCGAGTTCAAGCGAGCGCACAAGTTGTGGTCACAATTTCTCTCAGAACAAAATCGTGGCGTCCGGTTTCTCGCGATCATTGATAGCCATTGGAGTTTTATTCTGAATTGCTGGTCTATCAAGGATTGTAGACTGTCCTCTCAGCAGGTAGATGAACACATCAAAGGACAACTCTACCTCTTTCAGCCTGATACATCATCTCCCGACTAATCTCTAGAGTCTGGCTTACCATCATGTCTGTCTATACAGACTTGACTTTTTATTCTCGTGCAACCATTTGAACCAAGTCCTGTGTTCTCAAATAGTCAGGACCACGTAATAATGATAATGACCGCAACCTTTGATTCGGTATGACTTATAAATGGGCAACTCACATCGGTTATCTGTCCCAGGGTATCATCTGACTTGAACTTGAAGTTATGCAGTATCCCGAGCTCACCATCAACAGTGCATAGTGCATTGCTCAAGACGTTTACGCAGCGAATGATGTCCAATACATCGTGCAGTGTGCTGCTGCAGTACGTCTCCCTTTATCATGGTCTTTTGTTTGCTGATGGTATTCCCCGCTGCTATTATTGTGGCCACTTGTACCGAATACGTTGCGAGCTTCGACGCTAGCCCGTGGATAAACTTGGCCAACAAGCCCCCTGCTGGCCAGCTTCGTTTTGTATTCCTAGAAGTCATAAACTTCGCTGCTTCCTTGCTTACTGATGTCGTAAAGATCATTCCTTCATAGTATTTCAGCACCAGGGCAATGAAATTGGCAAACCTTTACGCCGACGACTACCTAGCGCAGCAGCAGCTCAACAGCACCGGCATGACGCTAAACGGTGCTCTTGACACGTTCACGCAGACCACTCGCGATGCACTGATTGTCCATGGAAAGACGCCTGTCGTATGGGAAGGTATGTGGCGTGTTTCTTCCTTTGAATGATGGTATTGAATGGAAACGGTCGTTTAGAAATGGTCCTAGACTAGACTACTGCGCTCTCAAACCAAACTATTGTGATGTAAGTATCATAATATCACGATCTGACATCGCTGATTCAACTTTATTGAAAGGATTTCTGCAGATGCTGCAGTAGTGGCAAGAAGGGGTTTCGGGATCATCCATGCACCATCAAATCACTTCTACCTGGTTAGTTGACGAGTCCGTTTATAGAATATAATGTCCTTATTATCCTAGGATTATGGTGCTGGTGAGGGACTGGGAGACGACCCAATTGGGTTGGTCTTCATCTTGTCGAATATACTTGATCTGAACTGACATTCCTTGTGAGAACAGAAATGGCTGACCCCTTCAAAAGCTAGTCCGAGGTAAGTATGAATGTTGAGGATAGCCATGCATCTCACAATGTCCCGTTAGGCATATACCTTTTATTCGTTGGCAAACTTGACCAAGGCGCAGTACGAACTCGTTGTCGGAGGTAAACACAATATAGTCTCGAGGTTAAATCAACCTTTCTGACCAATCTGCAGGTGAGCAAATTCTATGGAGTGAACAGTCTGGTCCCCAAAATGTCGACTTGATCGCATGGCCACGCGCTGCATCGTCAGCAGAAATTTTCTGGAGTGGGAAGCAGCCCATTGGAGCTGCACTCAACGTCACCGATGCACTTCCTCGTTTGCATGTAAGTAGTGTTTCTTGATGTGGAAGTACTTACGTGTATACTATGCACTAGTAGCTAGTTCACATCGATATCTTGGCTGGAATTCTGAAAATAGTATTGGTCCCACATAGGCAATGTTACATAACACTTAGTTTTGAGTCCTGCCAACTCTGCCCCAGGGCCTAGTGATGCATCAGGCTTTACTTGTTCACGAAGTCCTCCTAGAGATATTCGCCTATGTACCATATACTGAAACACCATTGACCCAGAAATTGCTTTCAGCGCTTGCAAGGACATGCAAAATCTTCTACGAGCCTGCGATGGATTTGCTGTGGACTAAAATCTATGGATTAGAACCACTGCTAGGCTGTGTAGCGAGGTTACATCCACTGATATACCATAGTGGTATAAGGGTCAGTACACGACTTCATTACACTTTGTTCGTTTCTTTTCAGCTCACCGAGCGTCTACATAATAGTGGCACCAACCCTGGGCGAAAGGTGTCGAGCCATTATCTGCCCATGAGGCCCATCAATTTCTGTGTCACTCCTCCCGCATACGCACATTGGACATAAAATCTGATGATCCGCACCTTCTCTCTGTCATCCCCGCCGAGGCATGCATATTTCCGAGGCTGAAGTCATTAAGTCTTACCACCGCATATCTGAACCTCTTTCTGCCTCACATGCTGCACCGATGTCATCTATTGGGCGTCGATGAGGGTCTGCAATCCTTTGTGACACGTTGCATTGCTCTGGAGGATTTATTCATCTACACTCCCGAATGGCGCCAGGTTGACAGTACAGCAAATGAGATGTCCCTGCTATCCGATAGGATTTATTGGTGCACACGGCTTGTAACTCTTTCTTGTCCAATGCTCGACTGGGCAACATGGAAGCATCTCTCCCACCTCCCTACCCTTCTCAATTTGGACATTGAACAAGGGTGTAATGACCCTCCTTCGCTGTCAAAACAAGATATCGTGAATCTATCATTCCTTAACATCACAAGCCTTTCCTTTCAAGATCTCTATGATCCTGAAGACATCATCACAGTCATGCAACACTCGCAATTTCCCTCGCTGAAAGAGTTCGAGTTTAATGCCAGGTATATCTCTCCAGAAGATGCCGAGCAACTCTTTCATGCTCTGTCCCAGTGCAAAGCGTCTCGGACTCTAGAAGAAATCACCATTTGTTCTTTTGATGAGGAATACCGTGTACCCCCAAACAGCGAGCCTTTGACACCAATTCCGCATTTCCTTTGCTTTACGCAACTCCGAAGCCTGAGGCTCACATTTCATAATTTCCACATCATCCACCTGGACAATGACATGCTCTTGCAAGCCATGTCTACTTGGCCGCACATCCGCGCTCTGGAAATCAGTGACTCAGCTAGCTATGCTCCTTCCGAAATCTCCCTCTGTGGATTATTCACAGCGCTCAGTCTATGTCCAGAATTGCATACACCACGAGTTCCAATCAATCTTGCAACTATCGACATCGATCCTGATGCTGAGCCAATACAACATACCTCCCTACGATCATTGGCTTTGGACCTATCCGTGTCTCAAACTGAAACTATCGCTCGCGTTATTTCCGCCTGGCTCCCTTTCGTCGACCAAGTTCACTCATATGGTTCGAATTGGGTTGAAGTCAACAGGTATCTTAGATCTTTGAGAAGGGCTACTGCGCCGTATATTACGCGAGCCTCCTATAAGAATTGAGTTTGGAATATCTTCACGTCCAGGAATGTGTCATTAGTACGATTTCTAACACGATTACGTGCGTCACCTGAGCTCCACCGCTCACTGTGCTCGACGGTTCCCTCCCTCCTGTATACCTTTTGATATCCGCGTCTGTAACAGCCATGTAATCACACAACACAATACGCGCTTGATAAAATTCAACAACTACATAGAGGGATACATCCATGCCATATGATGAGGCAGTAGGAAGTTAGCAGTAGTGACGAATTCTGGGATTGTCCTTAGCGTTGATCAGTTTGCGCTGTCGCTTCCAAGTTGTGTACAGTTGTCGTTCACGAAAACCTGACTTGTGTCGAGAAATTTATGCCTTGGCTCTGCGAGGTCACACAGCGAAATGGAAGTTAGCGCAATGTTCGAAGTGATGCACTGCACACCACCAACCCTACATCTTGACTTCAACAGACAAACAACACTTTACCTGTGTTCCGGGTGAGCACCTTGTCTATCCCACATTCTCATCACCTCACATCTTCCCATCAGGAGACAACACATGTCTTACTTACGGTATGCCTTCTCCGTCTCGTTAGTTTTATTATATCTGGTCACCTACTCAAGTTCCATACTCGCAGGTCACCACTTGAACAAGCGATGATCTGATATTCGCCGGGCAGGTGAGACGAGCTGTGTTGTCCAATGTTGCTGACATCCCACCCGGCGCTGCAGTACGTGATCGTTACTTGAAGCGTGCAAGTAAACCTATATAGTTGCGTCGCATCTGCCTTGAGATAGCTGAACTTGAAGCTTGAAGGTCATACTGGCCTGCTATGGCCATAAAAATTCAATTGCATACCTAGAGTGTGATCACAAAAAGTAGTAAACTTGTGTCGCGCATGGCTTCAAAATGAGCTTGCCTTGAAGGGTCTAGATCGACGTCGCAGTCAGGGCAGGCCCATGATCAAGCTAAGATTCGATGAAATCATGATGATCGACAAAATGACGCATGACACGTATGTATAGGCAATTCACACGCCTGTATTTGAAGAAAGACCTTAAATCGAGCCCCTTCAGTGACAAATTCCGTATTATACGGGCCACCCGACCTACATAATATCCCGTATGAGACAGGCCAGCGGATTATGGGCCCATGTTGTGTATATTCTCGATGATGACAGATGGGCCGGGACACATATTATTTCTGATGGAGACAGGTGGGCCCATGTATGCCAATGATATATATATCCTTGATGTTGACGGATGGGCCGGGGGAATATGATCATTCATGGAGATGGGTGGGCCCATCAGGGTAATATGTAGAGTAGGATATTATAGACAGCTGGGCTGAAGAGAGATGTAAGGCAAATATTGTTATATAGACGGGCGGGCCAACGGGGGTGTATTACATATATGGGTGGGCCGAGGTAGGGGAATATTACATAGATGGGTGGGCTGACGCGGGGTGTATTACATATACAGGTGGGCCGACATAAAAAGTATTACATATACGGGTGGGCCGACGAAAGGGATATCAAATAGACGGGTGGGCCGAGGGTGTGATAAAATATTTATTACATAGACAGGTGGGCCGAGGTGGGGTATAATTATATAGACGGGTGGGCCAACATAGGATGTATTACATAGACGGGTGGGCCGACGTGGGGGATAATACATAGATGGGTGGGCTGATGTGGGGGAATTGTACATAGATGGGTACATATATGGGTGAGCCTAGATATGTATAAATGTCAAATTTTCAGTGCAAAACCCCAAACCGAGATTTACCAACCCCCGAACCCCGAAATTGTGGACTGCCGGGTCTCGGGTTTCGGGGTTCGGGGGTCCCGGAACTCGGAACTCAGTATGTGAGACAACAAAAATATATTTCAAACACGGGTAAGTCAATGTGTTTGTCAATCAACTTGATTGTAAATTATATTTTATTGATCTCCCCAAATTTCCCAAGTTCCGAGTTCCGAGTTCCGAGCTCCGGGACCCCCGAACCCCGAAACCCGACACCCGGCAGTCCACAATTTCGGGGTTCGGGAGTTGGTAAAATGTGTATGGATAGATGAAAGGTTGATTTAAACATTTTTGAAAGATGTCCCATATGAAATGTTAAGTCCCGAGTTTTGAACTCCGGGTTTCGGGACTTCGGGCTTCGGGACTCGGCACTCCAGAAACCCGGAAATCGAAACTTGGGACTTGACATTTCATATGGGATATCTTTCAAAAATGTTTAAATTAACCTTTCATCTATCCATACACATTTTACCAACTCCCGAACCCCGAAATTGTGGACTGCCGGGTGTCGGGTTTCGGGGTTCGGGGGTCCCGGAGCTCGGAACTCGGAACTTGGGAAATTTGGGGAGATCAATAAAATATAATTTACAATCAAGTTGATTGACAAACACATTGACTTACCCGTGTTTGAAATATATTTTTGTTGTCTCACATACCGAGTTCCGAGTTCCGGGACCCCCGAACCCCGAAACCCGGGACCCGGCAGTCCACAATTTCGGGGTTCGGGGGTTGGTAAAATGTTTATGGATATATGAAAGGTTGATTCAAACATGTTTGAAAGATGTCTTTCATCTCAAAAATCGAGTCCCGAGTTCCGGGTAAGACATCTTTCAAACATGTTTGAATCAACCTTTTGTATATCCATAGACATTTTACCACCCCCAAACCCCGAAATTGTGGACTGCCGGGTCTCGGGTTTCGGGGTTCGGGGGTCCCGGAACTCGGGACTCAATATGTGAGACAACACAGATATCTTTCAAAAGTTTGTAAATCAATTTGTTTGTAAATCAAATTTATTGTAGATCAAATTTTATTGATCTCCCCAAATTTCCCAAGTCCCGAGCGCCGACCCCCGACCCCCGAGACCCGGCAGTCCACAATTTCGGGGTTCGGGGGTCCCGGAACTCGGGACTCAATATGTGAGACAACACAGATATCTTTCAAAAGTTTGTAAATCAATTTGTTTGTAAATCAAATTTATTGTAGATCACCCCCGAACCCCGAAATTGTGGACTGCCGGGTCTCGGGGTTCGGGGTTCGGGGGTCCCGGAACTCGGGACTCGATATGTGAGACGACATATCTTTCAAAAGTTTGTAAATCAATTTGTTTGTAAATCAAATTTATTGTAGATCAAATTTTATTGATCTCCCCAAATTTCCCAAGTCCCGAGCACCGACCCCCAACCCCCGAGACCCGGCAGTCCACAATTTCGGGGTTCGGGAGTTGGTAAAATGTTTATGGATATATGAAAGGTTGATTCAAACATGTTTGAAAAATGTCTTTCATCTCAAAAATCGAGTCCCGATGTCCTGCATGATACGGGAATCATGCATGGACATAACTACTACTAGGAATAACCCTCAAAAGATTATGTCTGTTAGCACAGTCCTCAGACTAGTCACCCCATACCTTGGTATCAAACCTCGGTCCTATATTTCAAGTTTTATATGGAAGAAGAAGAAAAAGTCATATGTTAAATGGGAATCACAGAATGACCTAGTTTATATGTGAAGTAAAATGAAGGTTAAGGTATTGCCTTACCTTTGGCTTATTCACTTTGGCTAGAGAAAACCATTGAGAAAAGCTCAAAGCTTAACAAAAACCTATCTAAAAAGCCCGTGTCTTGCATATTGTATTTGTATCATTGTTTCTATCTTGTTTTCTCTAGCATTGTTCTTTTATTTTCTTTTATTTAGGATGCTATGACCTACCAGATACTCCAGAAAATATTATTTCTGAGTATGATGTCATAATGATGTCATATAGCTCCACAGAAAGTTCTAGACTATTCTGTTGGAAATTATGATGTAATGTATGAAGTCATAATGATGTCATAGGCTCTAGAATATTCTAGCTCCACTATGATGTCATCTCTGATGTCATTGCTCCATTTTTTATTTGTATTTTATACTTTTATTGGGTTTCACCCAATATTCTGATTGGTTCTCTCTTTATTTTATTGTTTGCGAACCTACATTACTTTCCCACACAAAATGTATATAAGGAGAGCCCATTCTCCCCCAAAAAAATAGAGATCCCTCTTCTAGGAAATTTTCTTCTCAGAGAAACCCCTCAGTTGAACAAGACATCTCACTTGTCAAGATCTCCCACTTGTGGCAGAACAAGTGCAGGGAAACGTATCCCTTGAGAATACAAGTTTCTTACGATAAGAAGCTTACGTTACTGTTTATTTGACCAACCAGTCTTTGGTCCACGTGATTTTTTAGAGACCGTTGTCTCTCCCGTTTACTGTTTGTTTGACCAAATCGTGCCTTGGTCAACGTGATTATTCTTGAGACCATTGTCTCACCAGTGCTATTTGTGCCTATTTGACCAACCAGTCTTTGGTCAACGTGATATCACAGAGACCCCTTTGTCTCTACTCCTATTCGTGCCTATTTGATCAACTCGTGCCTTGGTCAAATCTACCCAGTTCATTTCAGTGCCTAGAACGTGCAATCTAGGCAAAGCTATTTGTACTTCAGACCACAGTTCTGAATCTAGGTAGCAAATCCTAGACAAAGCAATTGGAGGTACACATAAAAGCTCCGGCTAAGTTGATCACCTGATTGGTTTAGCGAGCCTCCCAAGAACTCACACGTTATCTACCACGAAAGAAGAAAAGTCGTAGACCGTGTTAATCGAGGACTGGCAAGAAGTCTTATCCAAGTGTAATTGTGGTGTCATTACATTCTTACACACTTTATATAAGACCCTCGGTTATTAAGACACTGAGTTCCGAATTAGTGCCGAAGCTTGAAACTTGAAATCAGTGGAAAATGAAATCTCACAAAAATGTACACATGAAGATGTTTTATTTCCTTTGACAATTCACCGAGTGTCTTGTACTAACCTGACAACACAGTCCCGGCTTCAGGCTTCAGGGCTCGGTACACGACACTCGGGGAATTGTGAAATTTCTATTTCCTTGGACATTTCACTGAGTTCCGAGGTCCGGGCGCCGAATTCCGAGTTCCGAGCTCCGAGTGCCGAGTGCCGAGTGCCAAAGCTCAAAACTTGAAATCAGTGGAAAACGAAATCTTGCAACAATGTACACATGAAAATGTTTTATTTCCTTTGACAATTCACTGAGTGTCTTGTACTAACTCAGGGAATTGTGAAATTTCTATTTCCTTAGACATTTCACTGAGTTCTGAGTTCCGAGCGCCGAGTTCCGAGTTCCGAGTGCCGGATGCTGAGTGCTGAAGGTTGGAACTTGAAATCAGTGGAAAACAAAATCTCGCGACAATGTACACATGAAAATGTTTCATTTCCTTTGACAATTCACCGAGTGTCTTGTACTAACCTGACAACACAGTCCGGGCTTCAGGCTTTGGGTTTCGGGGCTCGGTACATGACACTCGGGGAATTGTTTATGGAAATGAAACATGTTCATGTGTACATTGTTGCGAGATTTCATTTTCCACCGATTTCAAGTTTCAAGCTTCGGCACTCAGCCACTGGTCGGTAGTCAATATAGGCAAATGGTAATGAAAATGAAAGTTGTTATTACGCTTAACTTCCTTACCGAAGGTTGTAGTCCGAGTCTAGGGGAGTGTATTGGTAGTCTTTTCTTGTCCATCAGTTATCATTTAACCGAGATATAAGCTAAAGAAATCTGAAACATCGGCAATAATGAAAAATGAAAGTTATTATTATGTTTAAGTTCCTGAACAAAAGTTGTAGTCCGAGCCAAGGTGAGTGTATTGGTAGTTTTTTCTTGTCAATTGGTTATCTCGTTACTCGGTACTTGGTACAAGGGAATCAGTACTTGGTATTTGGTTCTGATACTTGATACCCGAGAATCAGTAGTGGGGTACTCGGTACTCGGTTCTGATACTTGGTACCCGAGAATCAGTAGTCAGGTACTCAGTACTTGGTTCTAATTCTCGGTACCTGTGAATCAATAGTTGGGTACTCCAGCCAATAGTCCTGAGTCCCGAGTACTGATACTTGGTATTCAGTAGTCAGGTTTGGAACTTGGGTCTTGGTTTGGTTATCATTTGACTGAGATATTGGTAGGCAATATTGGCACTCGGAGCTCGAATACTGACTATCAACTATCAAGTGTCGGGACTTGGTAATTGGTAGTTGAGACTTGGTGCTTGAATGGATATTGCATATATACATAAAAATACAAAATATGTTCCTATGTGTTCATTTCTAGGTGAATAGTATCTCAATCATCTATTCAACAATAGAAACAATGTATCAGGAGCTCAGGACCATAGGGTAATCCTTTATTGTATAGTGTACCTCCCCCTCTTCTGGTGGTTCACCTGCTGGGGTTTTTTTCCCTGTAGGACTGGACCTCAAGGACTGTAGGGAGTCTATTCCTGAGCATATTCGGAGTAGATATATCATATAACCAGCCCAGGACACACAGGATCCTTTTCCAGGAACAAAGCATAGACAATTGCACTTGTGATATTTTTTCACGATTTTCAGTATCTTGCCCTTGCATCCATGATCCAACCTTTTAATATATAATGAGCATAGCTTATATTCTTGCTTCTTATGACCAAGATCAGCTCACAATAGGCTGGAGTTTGTGAGCTAGTGTGTATACTTGCCATTTCGCCTGATAAGGGGCCCATGCCTTCAAAACATTGAATCTTCATAATCAGAAACCTGGGGTACATTTCAAATATCTTAAGTATCATAGACATAAATTTAC